TCACGTTCTTTACAAATATGTCGAGTTGCTCCTAAATCGATCCACCATGATTGGTCACCCTCCTGAACATGATTTAACTCGTAAATCATACCAACAAAATTCATATCCGAATTTGTCAAGTAACAATTATTGTTACCTTGAGTGGATTGGTCAAAGGCTTTGTTTCCTTGACCATGAGCACTCTTCTTCTCGTGTTTATTCTTCCACGAGTAGCAATCCCGTTTGAAGTGTCCCGGTTTATTGCAAAACCAACAAGTCGCACTCGACTTTGACTTCTTCTTAGGATTACCCTTGGAGGGTCTCTTTCCTTGTCTTTTGGCTCCACGTTTCTCATCCTCTACAATATTCACTGTAGTAGGAGGAGAAGCGCCTTTGCCATCTTGCATCCGGAGATCATCCTCGATGCGAAGATGTGTTCCCAATTGTTCAAGAGACATATCCTCTTTTTTGTGTTTCAGGGAACGCTTGACATCCTTCCAACTCGGTGGAAGTTTATCAACAATGGATGAAACTTTGATGGTTTCATCCATCTGCAGTTTGTGTTGTGTGAATTGACTTAAGATCCTTTGTATTTCATGGAATTGCTCCATGACCGGTCTTGAGTCCACCATCTTGTAAGAGTTAAAACTACTTACAAGAAATCTCTTGCTAGAGGCATCGTCAGAGACGTACTTAGCCTCCAGCGAATCCCACAAGGCTTTGGCCGTATCCATGTATTGATAAACATCAAAAAGTTCATCGGACATACCGTTAAGGATGTGGCCGCAACACACGTAGTTATCGTTGTCCCATTTGTTCCGTGCGCGAGCCGCTGCCAATGTCTCCTCTTCCGTTTCTTCCGGCCTAGGAGTGCTTATCACGTAGACGATGTTCAACGTCGTCAGGAGGAAATGCATCTTCTTCTGCCACCTTCGGAATCCCACGCCCTCGAACTTATCGAGTTTATGAAAGTCTATGGTAAGATCTCTCACAGAAGTAGTCATCCTCGAGTGGATAACGTTTTTAGATTGTTAGAAATCTGGGATATAAAAAGAAGAACAATAACAGAAAAGTAAATAGGAACCGGATAACTCTTCAAGGCGTGATACACTTTCCTAAAAACGTTATTCCGTCCTATACGAGCAAAGGACTTTCCGGAATACGTCTTTGAGATACAATGAAGAGAGAAGTGATCTTAGTTTGCTCTACTAAGAACACAAACACAAGAAATCGCAAGAAGAAGATGAACAAAAAGCTTTTGTGGGTGTTTTGCAAGAACAACCACAAAGTGCTCTCAAATCTCTCAAAAAACGAATTAGATCTGTTCTCTTGTGTTAGGATGTCCAGGGGTGTTAATCAACACTCCAAATGTCGAAAGGTGTGAAGAAATCGGAAGTTTTTCCCGAACGGTCGCGATTTTCCGCTCAATCCGAACTGCTCAGAAAAAACGGGCTGCCCGCCCGTTTTGTCGAGCTACCCGCCCGTTTATTTCTGAATTGCTCAGAAAAAACAGGCTGCCCTCCCGGTTTTCCCGAGCTACCGCCCATTTATTTATGAGCTTTATTCCTCAGAAAAAATAGGCTGCCAGCTCATATTTTCGAGCTGCCCTCCCATTTTTTCTGAGATTACCTTTCACGTTCAAAACCGAACGTAAACTCTTTCGACGTATCCCTAACACTTAGCCAATTCATACCACGTCTTTTACAAGCATTTAACTCCTCCACCATACTTGTAATACACGTTAAACATGAATCCTTTTGAGAGATTCTAAATTCCCATTCATTTACTCTAAAAATACCAACAGAAAATCTCTGTAGCTTAGGCGAAGATGAGGAAAAATATCTTAGGAAACAAGATTTTCAAAAGGACAAAACAACTTCAATGTTAAAACGTGTTCTCCAATGCCATGGGAACACCAAGATTCTTCGATAACAGCTTCGATAACATTATATTAGAAAGTGACTGTTCCGTCCCGAATTCGAAACTCAAATTTAGAAAGAGAGAGTAATTTCAATCATATAGTTAGCTAACGCCTGTGGAATTACTCTAGATAGCGGCCTAGATATCCGATCACCCAAAAAAATTATTATACGAGGGAGGACCGTTGACTAAAATGAGCAAAAAAGGAAAGTTAAGGAAATTTTTAGACATTCAATCCCTTTAAAACTAATTGCAGGGGCAATGCCTTATAAAGGCTACGGTCTCCTGACGGCTTCCTCGTCTAACCTGATCCACATAATGCGTGTGATTCCCTTCGTAGTGCGGACAGTGAAAAGAACCCCACAGAAACGGAAATTTTGTCTTTCTTTACAAAACCGGGAAAGGGCCATTTCAGTCGGGTTTTTTTTTTTGGTAAAATGTAAAATTTTTATAAATGAATCAACGAAATTGTTTTACAAAAGCGGTTTGATAAGCGATACATCAAAAGATGGATTCCATGATAGCGGAACTAGGAACTGCAATAGAAGAACAGGAACTGGTGTACGATGTTCGTGTTGGGTACTCTTGTCAAATGGTTTGGGTTTGTAAATAAATTAGATTGTTGTTTGAATTTTTGTTGTTTGGAAATAAATTAGATTCTGATCTATTAGACTTAAAATCAAGGGTATATATATAAATTTCTAACACAATTACAATTTAGTTATAGGTTAGTCACATATAAGAAAAATGTGAAACTAAAAGCAAGGAGATCGTTGACTATTCAACAAAAAGAAGAGAACCGCATCCGATCTGAAGGTTTCGGATTCAGCACTGACCCGATTTTTTTTTGGGTCTATATAACTAAATTCGAAATCCGATCTTATTTATTTCGGATTTGGACCGAGACAGATCGGGTCGGATCGATCCTCTCAAATTCCTTATAAATTTAATTTTTTATTAAGTTTTTCTTTTAAAAAAAATAATCAGACTTTCGAACTGATCCAAACTAGATCCAGAAGCTCGATTTGAATACAGCTCGAAAATCTGATTTTTTTCAGACCGAAAAACTTACAACTTTGGACTGGACCGAGGCGACTTCGGATGTCATGCCTAAATTGACACTTACAAATGAGGAAAAAAAGTTAAATCCTTCACTATTGTTTTTTAGTAAACCACATCATAAGCCTACGTAGTACGTAACAAATGGCCACATCGACCACGTCATAAATAGTAAAAAAAATTAAACCTAATTCCACAATATACCTTTTTTAACAATATATGAATGCATATTATTACAGATCTACATGAAGTAAATATTTGTTAGTTTTTATTCTTTTTGTTTTTGTTGACATTGGCTAGGATGTCAATTTGGACACGAGACCCAAAATTCGACCCGGCTCATTCCGGAAATTAGCGGGTTTCGGGTCTAAATTTTTTGACCCGAAAAAAAAAACAGTTTTTCGGACCGGTCTCGAATCGGGTTTCGGATTCGAATCGGACCGGTTCGAAAGCCCAATATTTTTTTTAAATAAAAATAAGATTTATAAAGGGATTTATGTGGACTGCCCCAGTCCGGCTGACCCGATCTGAACCCGGTGTATATAGAGCCAGATTTCAGACTTAACTACATAGATTCGAAAAAATCGGGTCGGTCCAAACCCGAACTTAAAACTTTTGGACCGAGTGCGGGCTCGGATCTGTGGACCCGATTGACAATCTCTCCCAATGAATTATCTATCTATCAATGCAACTAACAACACAAAATACAACCTAAAAAAAGATAAACAATCAATTAATCAATCAATCAAAAGAGACAGAATCTGCAATATTTCGTCAAGATTTTTACCATTAATATCTCCCCGATTTATCCAATAAAAATGGAAAGCATGCAAAATCAATACTCAATTTTAGATATGGAATTGAAAAAACGTCAAACCCTTCACTATTTTTCGTACATCACCAGTCCATGTTACAAGTGGGCACAAATATTGAAATAAAGTAAATAAAACATCTAAACTTAAATCCACAAATAGCAACATTTATCCCTTTTTCAACAATATATATGAACTTACATTATTACACATCTATATCAAGTACATATTTTTTAGTTTTGTTTTTATCAATCAATTTTTTCACTATATAAATAACGATATAGGAGGATCCCTGCAACTTGCATGTCTACGGCATTGATTTCGACATTCTTCCGTGAGGAGACCTCGTGTCTCGGAGTTTCTTCTCCCTAGAGAGTATCCCTGCCAACCTGAAGAGAGATCCGACCATTGAAAAATGCGGCATTAACAGCATAAAGCAGCGATCACAAAACCCTAACATAGTTGTTAGAACACGTACTTGATGATAGCCTCCTCGTTTGTCATTTCATACGCGTTCTCGTTCGAACCCGTTTCGAAATTCACTCTTGAAACCGGTTTCTTGAGGAGCTGTTCTCCCGTTTTCACCAGATTCTCTAGGTTTTCCTTGGTCGCGATATCTACTGAAGACGCATCCCCGGTTAATGTATCGTCCTGAGGTTAGTTTGTTCAAAAATGTATGTTAATCAAAGGCTTGAGAGATTCATGTATCGGTTTCGATAAGGAGACGAACTTGGATCCGGAGATAGTTGGACTCGGAATGTAGAGCTTGGAAGACGGCTGAGAGGTGGAAATCCACCATGTCGGAACTAGCATGCGTGAAGGCATCGATAAGAGGCGTTGAGTTATCGTGTGCCAACCAACTCAACATTCCCCAGTCGGCGCATTCTTGTGCGTTGAACTTCTCTTCCGCCTTAGCGGTACCTGTCCCGAGGGAAAGCACGAGAAACCTTCCGTAGTCGTTCGGTTTTATCGGGAAGAATTCAGTACTTCCTCGTGTGATCTCCTTTGTGACCTCTCCAATGGCCACTTGAGCCTACATTCCACAATTGGTTTAGTGAATTCTAATACCATTATTCATCCATTGTTAGAGGAATCGAGTCGTGACTATGCTTAAACCTCGTCAGATACGTTTTATTTTCTTTATTTGATATTTCGTGCGGTTGATTACCGGGTTGTTAGCCGCAACACCGCCATCAATGAGATTGAAATCCCTGACTTTCCCCGTCAAGACGTCTTTAGTTTGGAAGTAATGGGCAGGCAGATATGTTGGAGCAGCTGAAGTTGAAATGCTGATATCGGCGAGCGTTGCATTCTTGAGTGAATTGTTCTTCACCTACATATAACGTTTTTAAAATGTTTAAAAACCGATAAGAGCCATAAATCCGATACGTCGATGACCAGTTTGAAACAAAGAGAGATCAAGAAAAACCTCATAGCTGCTAAAAATGGTAGGTTGAAGACGCTTGATATCAAATGTCGGGATGACAACGTTGGTGAGTGTTTGGTTCAACCTCGTATCTCCCAGTTTCTCCTTCACAAGTTGATGAAGGTATTTGCCGTCGTACTTGGGTCCGGACAAGGTCTTTACCAAGTTTTTCGCCGAGGAAAAGGGAAAATGATCTTGCGGGAAGATTTTTGGACAGTGTTCAAGGTAAAAGTCCTTGATCTCGTTGCCTGCGAACAAGGGACGGCCTTTCTTGTTCGGGGCAGTGAGCATCGCCGTCACTAGACCACCGGTGCTCGTTCCAGCAATCACATCGAAGTAGTCTGCAAGCCTCGCTTCTTCTCCGTCCAGTTTCTGCTCATCCAAACAATTTCTTCTCAAGCCATTATCATCACATAGTATATTGGCGCCAAATATTGTAACCGGGTAAACAAATTTAGCTTCATTTAGGTTACTTACCGTACATAGCTTTGATTACGAAGCTTTTGGTTTATATTTTCGTTTAGTTTACTGTTCTTCTCAAACTATGTTTTGGTTTATATGGTCGGTAATAACACACTATATCGTCGGTATATATACTCTACTCCCATGTTTTGGAAGAAGATCCAAACCCGAGTTCAAACACAACACAACACATCACGCGTGTGTATGTATATAATGTAAGAGTTATGAATACCTGAATCTCAGCTTCTAGAAAGGCAAGAATGGTTGCAGGGATTATCCCTCTGATTCCGCCGCCATCGATGCTAAGAATGGTGATTAATTTCCCGTAAGTCGGAGGTTGAAGAAGCGATCTCGGGCTCTCCATGAATTTGTGTACCGACAAGACTTTTAATGAAGAAGAGAAGATGTAATAACGTGATATTTGTGTAAAATGCCTTTGGTGATTCTGTGTATTCATGTGGGGGGTCGATGTATTTATAGGCAACGTTTCGGTGGGCTGCTTGAAAGATGGATATAGTCTTCGATCTTAGGATCGTTCTTTGGTCAAATGAACGAACTCGTCCCTTTCGCCATCTTGCTGAATATTTCATTCTTATTAGTTTTTTTCTTAAGGGCAAATAGCGTTGCCACTCGAAAGTATTGAACGGCGACAACAAGAGAACAACAAAATGCTGCTTTTACGGTTTTACCCCTAACAATAAGTCACACGATATCGTAATACAAAAGGATAAGGAAAAGCACAACATGCAAGTAGAAAACCCATATTGTTATTATTATTGTTTGGTCAAGGATCATTCACATGTTTCAAATTATAATAATAAAGCCGCCGCTTACTCGTCGTCTCTTCAAATTTATCGTATACTTGAGAAACAACTGTATTTTAAATTTAAATACATATATGACTAGAGGTTGTTGTCATTTCCAATTCCCCGTTTTACTTTATTTCGATATTTTGGGGTTTGTGTTTTTCTTTAAGTTATATCCATTTGGATGTTTTCAGATTTTATTTCAATTCCAGTTTTCGGATTTTATTAATGTTCGATTTTTATTAAAAATATTTGCTTTTTCGATTTTTTATTTTTGTTGGGTTGGGTTCGGATTTTGTTAATTTATTTTAAAGGAATCATACCCAATCAGGTTAGATGGATTTTGATTCGTATATAGTTGTATAATATTGGGCTCGGTTCATTTTTTATATATACAACCCGTGAATATAAATAAACCCTTCCACCAAATTGGAAATAAATACTATTAATTATAGATTAAGGACCTTGTTCTAAGCATATACGGCCCGCCACCAAAGAATCTTTATCCTAGAGAATCCAGTTTACGTAAGCAACCAATTTCTTATTCTATTTGTGTATATCCGTTAACGTTGGCTGCTTGAATTTCCAACTATATATATATATATATATATATATATATATATATATATATATAGACACACACACATATATATGATTGTCAATTCAATCAAATCTCTCTTTTCTAAACGTAAGAGTTGAATGAAATAGTCTTTTATGCATCACCCATCCAACAGACGAAAGATTTGACATGTTTGCTTTGAAGAAACTGGACTCTAGTCAAATTGTTACATTCTGGTATTAGGTGCTCGAGATGCAAAAACTTCACTCTTGGTAAATATTGTTCCAGAAATCAATATTTATAGAAAGGATGATTGGAGGTCGAGACTTGGCTATATGCAAAGACTCGAGAGTATCTTATTGCTTCGGTTTGATATATTACCTTTGAACCTTTGAATGTTGTACGATGCATTTCCCGGGAATGATGCTAGCAGCTTTCTAAGATCTGCACCATCATAGCAATAGTGTGCATGTTTCCCCCTCTCAACCTGGCCGTTTTCAGACAGAACCAGCATTAAAAAAACTATCCACCTAAAAGTGGATATATATACATGGATTTATTTCGACTATTTTTTTTATATAATTTTGTTTTTTAAATATTATACTGTTCAAGTGGTGAAATACTATACTATTTTTTTGATATATACATGGACCCACTGTAAGTTTGTAAGAAATAGCAAGTTCCATATGCAGCAGCAGGACACTCTCAAGAATTAAACTGTGGAAGCTTAAATAAACGTGCAAAAGCTAATTCACTTCCAAGAGCGTGGAAACTAAATGGTGCCAAGACAATTAAACCCTAATTCAGAATCACTTCGCACAAATGTTCAAGATAAGGATTTGTCTAGAAGATGGTCGAGTAGGTGCCTCTGCCTGGTCTGACCTATGCGAAGAATTTAGTATATATTCGACATGGACTGTGCCTTATGCATATATGTAAGACCATGTGTAGAATCTTGCATTGTAGTTTGGATTTCATTGTTTTCACTGTCTTCTTCACTAGCGTGATAATCCAAACCTGCGTAGTGGTTGCCATGATTTCTCAACTACAACAATCACATCCCTACAAATTAACCACATCCAAAAATGGGATGAATTTTAAAGGATTTGTTCTAAGTTTTTTCGACCTCTGGATAAATCTTGAAAAAAAAAGAATGCATCAATGGTGAATAATGTAACAAAGAATTATAATACAAAAATCAATACTTTATAGATTTACTCTCGATTTTGATTTTCAACCAATGGTCAGGGACTTGAAGAGTTCCATTTACATGATCAAATCCAAAATGAGACGCTCCATGAGTGATTTTTTTTATAGATGTAATAGTCTATCTTCAAAGTGTCAATTATATTCTTAAATTTTTCATAATTTAAATTTATCCCAAATATTTTATTAAATTTTCTAGTCATGTTCGACTTTTCGACCTCACTTAGATTTATCTTTTTTGTATGCCTAGTTTCTTTCTCTAATATATAGATGTTTTAACATAACACGAGTCATCCTATCCGACCAAATGATTTTCTAAAAATTTAAAAGTATAAATCAGAATCACAACAAATTGGAGTTTAGAGAACACAATTAATTTATATGAATAAATTTGGTTTTAAGTTGTATTCACCTTCTTATGATATTCACTTCCATTTCATGATGTCATATTTATACAACAATAGATTTATGAAATCTGAAAGAAGATTGGACATTAAAAAATATTACAACCATTTAAAAACATGTGTCTTCGTAAACTAATCGACAAAGGATACTGTATTATTGTCACTTCCAATGCAAACCTCCAACCTTACTCTTAAGTTACCATAATATAGATTATAATTCACAAACAGTGTCATTTACTTTTAAATTTTACATTGATGAAGTTCTTTCATACTTGTTCAATTATTCTTTCAAGTATATAACTGATAACGCAAATCTAGGTGTATAAATAAACTCAAGTAATAAATGCACAAAACTGATGCGAAATCGCTGGACAATGAACTTTGAAATAGAGGAGAAAAACGTGTTATCAATAACGCCCCCCAAAAAATCTTTTATAGTAATTTATACCGTCAACCATATCCGCCAAATCATGATTGATATAATCAGACAAGGGAGCATGATCTAGGATTCCACCTAGCAACATCAGGGTTACCAGTCTCTTCCGGTCGGCCACACTATTGGTTGACATCTTCTTCACCTTGTTCATCATATCTGTCACAGACACCTTCGCACGTCCGAATGTTTTGATTCTAAAATTAATTTTCTTGTACCTCTCTCATCATTCCGGATATTCATGGCACTTCAATCCAGATATAAGGACATGCTCGATGATCGAGTACTTGACGGACATACTATTAAAAATGAACCATAGCTCCTTCTCGTCCTCCACCCTCATTGTGCGGTTTATAAGGACTTCTGCAGGCGTTATCTTCAATTGCATTCGAATTAAATGTGAAATAAATGTTGGAGCTACTACTCTTTGTAGAAATACTTCAATTCCTCCTATGTAACACATCTTTCAGATTCTTCAGTGTTTCATACGGATAATGCTTCGTATTGATCTTCAAAGAAATCTAAATATCTTCGAATTTATAGAAAAATGGCAGCCGCAAAATTAAGATTTTGTTCAACATCATTCACTATGACCCAAATAATCTTGTGACCCGTGTGACCCTTTAACTCGTGTCACCCTATGATTCGCATGAACTATATGATCATGTGACTCTGTGACCTACATGAATCGTATGACACTATGACTAAGAAGGATTATTGTGACTCAAAATATCGCGCATCTTATCGATGTGATGAGGTGCATCCAAATGGCTCAATATGACTAAATATGACTCGTTGTTACTTATAAAACTTGTCAATCGATTACTTGACTTAAAATCCTAATTTTTAAAATCCCGATACTTGACAATCTATTTCGAAATCCCCAAATCCTAACTTACACCAAAAAATGACTATCAACCGCAGACGAGACGAAGACGAAGAAGAAGAAGAAGATGAAGACGACGATCTAGGTATTAATGAAAAACCTACCGTTCGTTTCTACAGCAATGACATTTGCAGTCATTGTTGTTTGCTTAGTTAGAAGTTTTTTCTTAATGTTTTTCGAAATTCGCAAGCAAATTCGGAAAACGCATTGGACTTGAACTTTGGACTTTGGAAAAAAGAAAATGAGCCGTATTTTATTTTATTTAAAAAAAACACATCAGAATTGATAAGGGTAACATCGTCTTTTACATGCGAAATTAAAGACATTTGTGTGTTTTATATGTTGCAGTAGTTTTTTTTTCTCTTCAAAATTAGGGTTTAAATGATACACTATAAAGTGTGAACCGCATTCAGATTTCAGAAGGTATTCCTAATATATATAACCGTTTCAAGTTTACGGTAAATATATTCAACCAATTTTTGTTTAAATATAATTAAATATTATTGGATAAGAAGATTAACTTTTGTCTACCCGAAACGAAATGGCTACTCTAAGAAAGCCATTTTATGTATGGTGGATGTAAACCAAACATCATGAATGGATATGTCTACGCCATGCCGTACCTCTGACCTTGAAAATCACGGTGGTTGTCTTGTTTCCTTCCCGAAGCTTGTAGTTGTGCCTTCCGATTCATCTCTTTAGACTCCGATCGAATTCTCTGTTAGCGAGGAAAAGAAAACAATTGAGAATTTTGGCGGATTTGAGAGAAGGCGATGTGGGGATTTGGAGGAAAGTACTACTGGAGGAGGAGGAGGAATGTCGATGATGGAGGGTGCGAAGGGGTCGTGGTGGTGTTTGCATGGATGTCGAGCGAAGAACGCAATCTCAATAGCTACGTCGATCTCTATTCTTCGATTGGATGGGACTCGCTCGTTTGCCATTCTCAATTTCTCAACATGTTTGATCTTCTCTCTCTCTCTCCCCGTTATGATGTCTAGATTTTACGGGTGAATTTGTTGTGTTTTGCTATAATTCTGATGTTGATATGTGATTTAGTTGAATTGGATGGTTATTCAAAATCTTGATTTTATGGGCAAAATCGTGGCATCTCTTGATGATTGAATTGGATTTCTTGTTGATGAAATCAGGAGAAGCATCTTTGTTATGTGAATTAGATGATCATTTTTTTCAATTTGGGACTTCGATCCGTTTCTGGGCAAAAATTCCCCTTTTACTAAGAATGTTCCTCTTGTTTGATGTACAAACTCCCAGGTTTTTTCCGGACAAAGCTGCAGTTTTAGCTTCTGATATTGTGTCTGAACTTGTGACGGTGAGTTTGATTTTATGCCTGTAGATTTCGAATTGTGAATTTGCAATGTGGGTATGATGCAGTGAACTCGGTTGAATTGTGTAATGATCACTGGTTCGGGTTTGTTAATGATAGTTTCCTGAATTGTGTTATTGTGATATGCAGGAGCTAAAAGCAAGGCCAGTTCCCGTTGTGTTCGCATCCTTCTCGGGCGGTCCAAACGCGTGTATGTATAAGGTCCTCCAAGTAAGTTCACAGAATTTCGTTGTCTGCCTCGAACCGAATCCTTCTTTCGCTGAACTTTTGTCTTGGAAGGCAGTTCTGTAAGGAAGAGCTTGGTTCTTTTGCAGATACTTGACAGAACATGTGAAACCGCACTAAACTCGGTATGAATTTCTGTTTTCCTGGTTTAGAGTTTGATTATTTTATTTAGTGGTTAGCTTTGTATTGTTCATCACAGAGGGATCTTTATTATGGTTCTTATTGAGAGAGTTTTATCTTGTACTTGTGCTTAATTCCTTGTTGAACGAGTCCACTGAATTTTCCTCTTCGTGTAGGATGATTGCCGACTGGTTAGGGACTGCATCTCGGGATTTATCTATGACTCGAGCCCCGTGGATTTCACTAGCGACTTGGGAGCTCGGTTTGCAGTTCATCCTACCGTTCTCAAAATGTCTCGTCCTCCTAAACCAATTGTGTGGGCAGCAAATAGTATTGCTTCAAGCCTCGATTTTGTTTTCCTGAACCGGTTTGAATCGCAACGAGCTGAGTACTGGCAAACCCTTTACTCTACTATTGTAAGTCTCAGATATGGCGGGTCAAATCTCGGGAATTCTCTTTTTGTTCTACACAAGTACACATCATTTTATTGCCCATTTTCCATTGACATTCTTATGCAGACAATGGGAGTTCCATATCTCATTCTGTGCTCCGAAAACGATGACCTTGCTCCTTATCGCACTATACACAATTTCGTCGCACGTCTCAAAGAGCTCGGGGGAAATGTGAAACTCGTAAAATGGAATGACTCCCCTCATGTAGGTTAGCATTCGAAAAAGCTTGATCTCAGGGGAAGTGTTCCATTTTTTGTTATATCCAAATATGATCTCTCCTTGGTCTGAACTTTCCAGATGATGTCTTTACAGGTCATTATCGACATCATCAGGTCGACTATAAGGCCTCTGTTTCCGAGCTCCTCTCGAAAGCTGCTTCGATATATTCACGAAAGTCACGGAATCTTGACGAGGAGACAAAGATGGGCATAGAGGAAACGCATTACGGCGGGACATCAGAACCAATTCAAAGCCTGAGGAAAGCAACTTCAGGTCTCCACTCGAGCTTCAATGGAACTCCTCTGATCACAACCGACCATTTTATCGTCCCGAGCTCGGTAGGTTACTACGTGGGCCAAGATGGCGGCGGCAGTTCTGTGCACGATGTACACAAGGAAGGTTTGATTCGTTTTCCGAGCCCACGAACCGACATTCTCAATCCTCATGGAGTTCTTGGTCGGATCCTTTTCGATGTTGATATTCCCAAGAATGTCGAGGAATGGGATTTGAAGTCATCGGATTCCGGCCACCCGAGGCGGAGGCCGGCGACATTTAATCCGATGAGGTGTATGCGTAGATCAAGACTGTAACGTTTGAATCCTCCATCCCTAAGATCATTCTTCATTTTGAATTTTTGAGTGTTGTGTTTTTTCTCTGTTAATAAAGTGTTATTGCAAAGGAAGCCCCAAAACATTGCTAGACACATTAACAAAGGGAAATAAAATAATTATCCTTAGAAGATAGATTTAATTTAAATCATATTTTTATATTTATTAAAATATACGAATTAATCCACTAATATTTTGTTTAGCAATTTTGTAGTATTTGGAACTTATTATATATCTTTACGTTTATTATTCAATATTTTGTGAAAAGAGTTTATTTAATAATTTTGGTATGTGAAAACTTCGTTATCTTATAACTTAATATTGACAAATTGTTTAAATGTCTAATAAATAAATAAATAATTTAAAATGTGTAGGACCATTGTTTTTTTAAGATTTACTTCAGAACAGAGTAGTAAATAGTAGTGTTACACCAAATTTAGATGAAGACTACTAATGACTTCATTTTCGAAGATTCATGGGAGACGAATACCAAATTATATTATATTTTTTTAAATAAAATTTCAAAATCTATACTAGAACATCACCGAATTTATTAATGGAGTTGGAAATTATAACAGATATCTAACTTCATTAAAATCCCATCTCTTCCATGTGCACTTCTTTAGAAGAATCCCTGAATTTATTAATGGAGTTGGAAATTGTAACAGATATCGAACTTCCTTAAAATCCCACTCTTTTAGAAGAACCAAAAAGGGTCAACGAAGTTTGAGGATGAAGATACTGGTGACCGGCGCTTCCGGTTTCCTCGGCGGACGACTTTGCCATGCCCTACTCCGCCGCGGCCACGCCGTGCGCGCCCTCGTCCGCCGCACCAGCGATCTCTCCTGCCTTCCTCCGACGACTTCCTCCGCCGCCGCTGGCGAGCCTCTCGAACTCGTCTACGGCGACGTAACCGATTATCGTTCCGTCCTTGACGCCTGCTCCGACTGCGATGTCGTCTTCCACGCCGCTGCTCTTGTTGAGCCCTGGCTCCCTGATCCTTCCAGATTCTTCTCGGCAAGCTTCGTATCACATTGTTATTTGAGTTTGATTTCGTTGAATCGGAGTTTTAGAGTCGTAGTTGTGATGATCTTTTGTGTCTAGGTCAACGTTGGGGGATTGAAGAATGTTTTGGAAGCTGTTAAGGAGACGAAGAGTATTCAGAAGATTGTTTACACGTCTTCGTTCTTCGCACTTGGGTCTACTGATGGATATGTTGCTGACGAGAATCAAGTATGGTGGTAAAAAATTCTAGATTTATTTGTTATGTTCGGTTTGAATCGATGATGATTGTAGTACGATTAGGTTTTGTGTTCATTGCGAGAAATGTTCCTGCGATGTTGCTGATGTGAGTCATATATGATGGTTTAATCTTTGATTCCTGTGTTGTTTCCTGGTTGGAATCGTTGATGGTTTCTGCATGAATAGGTTCACAGTGAGAAATTCTTCTGCACGGAGTACGAGAGATCAAAGGTTGCAGCTGATAAGATTGCATTACAGGCGGCTTCAGAAGGTGTGCCGATAGTTCTGGTGTATCCCGGAGTTATCTATGGCTCGGGCAAGGTCACTTCAGGCAATATTGTTGCTAAGTTGGTATAACTTCTTCTGCATTCCTTTTACTTAATCCCGCCGCCAATTATTGGTAGAGCATTTTCGGTGCTTTTTGTAGAACTTCTGAAACTGGCTCTTAGATTGGTTGGTCGCATGATGGACAGTAGGTAGCTGAAAGTACGGATACTGAAGGAAGATGGACATGTCGTGTATCTCGTTATGTAGCCATTCACTCTGTTTCCGGGATTTATTCACTCCCGTGAAATGGAATTCACTTTTTGTGGTCGCTAGTGTGATACTGTCTATCTACTGAGCTTGTATTTTGCTAAATCGAATAATTATGTTTATCTATCGACATGGAACTGGTTAACCAAAGCTTATCCTATCCAAGTCTGTGTTGACTGTTAACCTGGTGTAAGCTAATGTCTTTCTTTCAGATAATAGAGCGCTTTAATGGGAGATTACCTGGCTATATAGGCTATGGAAATGATAGATATTCCTTCTGTCACGTTGATGATGTGGCAGAGGGTCACATCGCTGCAATGGAAAAAGGGAGGGTGGGTGAGAGATACCTACTCACGGGGGAGAGTGGGTCGTTTAAGCTTGTGTTTGACATGGCTGCATTGATTACCGGAACCAAAAAGCCACAATTTCACATTCCATTGTGGGTTATCCTGCCTTATGCATGGTTGTCGGTTGTGATCTCTCGGATCACTGGGAAGCTTCCGACCATTAGTCCTCCGGTATGTTCCGATTTAATTTGTAAATTGTAATTGGATGGTTCAATGGTTATCTTATTCTTCTTCAAGAATAGTACCCCATGAATGCTCACTCCTACTTCCCGCTATGTCCTTGTGTTCTGATTACATGCAGACAGTTAACGTGCTGAGACATCAGTGGGCTTACTCTTGTAACAAGGCTACGACCGAACTGGGGTATAAACCTAGAAGCCTCAAGGATGGATTGGAAGAGATGCTCCCGTGGTTGAAGAGTTTGGGCGAAATAAAATACTAGCCGGTGTTGTATAGAGCTTCTTTGTGATGCAATGTACATCTTCATCCACAAGGTTTCACTTCTAATCTTTATAAAAGTTTGAGTGTTGAATGAAATGTGATTATTCTTTCTGGAACCTATACACTGAGACAAGTAATGTAAAATTTGTACGCTTGAGACAACATGTTTACTTGATACAAGTCTTATCCATAATCTACTTGTCCTTTATGCAAAAGTTACTCCTAATGTGTCTACCAGAGATCGAGATCATTTGCTTCAGGTAAATTCTCTCTTTCTAATTATATCTCGGGTTGTCATTGAAGTAATGCTTTCGCCTTTTTTGTTCTGTTACTTGCAGAATAACCAAATGACATGGACTTCCCCGCTCCTCTGGAAGATGTAGTCGGGTCTTTGGTCCGGTGAATTTCTAGATTATAAAAAAAATGAACAAGTTATGAGTAGCTGATGATCCATATGAATGTTTCACCGGCTCCCGTGTTTCGAGTCATGAACTCTCAGCGATTTGGAAGAATGCTATCCCAATAGAACTCCATCTGCAGAGGTAAATCAACGAACTACTTCCGCTTACTGGAGAATCGGTTTGGTAGAGTTTATGGTTGATTTCTAGTTTTTTTTTCCTTCCATACATCACATTCTCTTCTATTGTGTAAGAAACCAGAAACCACTTATCCTTATCCAAGTGATTGATGAAATTCATCAAACCACATGATTTTGAGCATTATGACCCTAACCATCGAGAATTTAACAGGTACTACGCACTAAACATAACACTATCTTGTATTATGTTTAATATTCATGCATTTAATTATAGGCATTTAGAATTTATATATTTCTACGAAATTTAAAATTTAGGTATATATAGTTGTACAGTTTAATGAATCAAGTCAATGTGTTTTTATATCACATTTTCCGTTTCCTCTTTTCAAAATATGTACTCTATTATGACATGCGTTGCGACATGGTTTGCATCTTTTACAGTAATATCATCTAACACAAACCCGATAACATGTTTAAATGCCTCGATATTCCTAGTTTATGAAAATGCTATATCACTTTATACATTTTACCATTTTTAATCATCAAACTTTATGTAATGACACGATTATAAAAATCTAATTAATATAAATATTGGATGGGAGGAGTTTTCGTAGTTTTTCAATTCCAAAAATTGAAAAAAATTGACAATCAATTTTTTTTAATTTGATTTTTCTAAAAACCCAAAAATCTACTTTATGAAAAAAAAAATTAATTAAAAATCAAAATCCACGTTTTTTAAGATTTATAAATTTATAAAATCCAAAAACTCAATAAAAACTCCATCCATTCAACAACACCGTAATATTTCTAATTAATTAGTTTGACTTTCGACACGGTGACACAAGATACATTGTAAAGTATATATATAAAAAAAAGGCAAGAAATAGAGCACCAAACAGTTAAATTTATTCAACTTCATCACATCGAGAAATTGAGAATGACAGAGATCCCATGAAGAAGACAGTATTGGTCCTACGATTACGCAAGGGAACAAAACATAGCTTCATGAGAATCACATGTCTTCACCAAGCCCTCTTCCATAGTGCCTTCACGACTATAGCAATCTTCTTTCATCATTTTATGCTGGCCACAAAGATCATTCATCAAAATCAGAAACAAGAAAAATAAAATGTTTCAGTTTAGATTTCCGCAATCAATTAGGGTTTCATTTCTTTTACTACAATTCTAATTTTCTATACTTTTTATATTATGAAAAAAACCATCTTACCGGTCGCAGTCGACTTCCCTACTAATCGGCACACCGAATTCGACGCTGCATTTGCTCGGGAGTTGGGCGGCAGCCTCGGCTTTTATCTCTCGAAAACGCGAAGCGTCATCCTTCATGCAGCGGCAAGCAGTTTGCCTGTCAGCCGTGGTGGGCGTCATCATCTTTAAATCCCTCACCCCGTCGCAACATTTTGAGGTCGGAGCCCCTCCGGCCATCAGATACGGCAAACACGGCCTGAGTGAACTGTCCACTTCCCCACACGTTATGGCATGGCTTTGGTCTACCAGCAGAGTTGAAAGAACGAGGAATAGGGTTGTGAGAGTGAATGCGTTCTTCATTTCTGTGTTTTGTGTGATTCTTGTTGGTTTTTCAGTCGTGGGTTTTTATAAGGGGAAGTGGATGCAAAGATCATGTGATCAATCGAACGTTAAAGAAGATAAAGAGCATTTGCATGATGTTTACGTGATCATGCATGCCTCTTTCCACGTGTCAAAAACAAAAGCTTTTGTGAAGCCATAGTATTTTGTTTGTTTCAACCTTCAATGTGCTTCGACGATTTATGATCTATGCCCAAATGGTATAGAGGAAGCACAGGACTCAACCTTGGAATTTTTGTATAATTGTTTAGATTATTCTGAAAAAAAAATACGTAAAATTGTTTCTTTACACGAGTACAAATAAAAAATTTAGCTTGACTAAATACAAGTACACATAATGTTATTCTTTGTTAGATATTACATATAGGGTCATGGGTGGATCGAAAAGTTTGTCGGGGGCAATATAAAAATTACTATAATTTAAGAGATAAATTTAAATTTTTTATAGGGCATTTAACAATTTTTGTTAGAAATTTATTAAATTTATAATGAAGTTATTTTTTCTAATAAAAAGAATGGGGTATATGCCCTATAGCTCATAACATAGGTTCGTCCATGTATAGGGTGTATATGAATAGAGTATCCGAAATTTTCAAAGCATCGAAACCTGAATCTAAAATGTATCGGATCATATATTTTATTACCAGATCTAGTACACGTAAAGTAGGGTACTCGAATTCGAATATCCGTAAAATAATCTTCGGATATTTGAACTTGAAAATTTTAAATATTTTCAATCAAATTATTAAAATTACATCCATATACATATTCAAATTTATCCAAAATCAATTCAAGATATATTTTTATCAAATCATATGCAAAATTCATAATAAAACTATTCAAGAATTACTATTTATAACTATTACTAACTATTAAAATCAAATACTATAATACATAGAATAACATAATTTTGAAAATTCAACATTTATATTTAATAAAAAATTGTAGACCTATTTTTGAAATGATTCTTAAATAATGAGTTAAAAACGTGAAATGCAATAAAAATAGTTAAGTGATGAGTTAACAAATATACTTACAATATTATGTCAATTTATTTTTCCTAACCCGATGAATCTTAGCCGGAAATTTTAGGTTCAAATGATTATACTTAACAATTTATCTATTTTAAAATTTTAAATTTTCAAACTATTTAATATAGCGCATAAAAAGGAATTGCTATTTCTTCCTTAATGATACAACTATCATCGATTCCAAACTTGATTAAAAAAAGGGTGAATATATGGTTTTTTTATTAATTTAAAGAAAATACAGGGTTTTTTAGAGGCCATAAGATTTGTCTGATGTGGTAAAAATTATAATGTCACATTGGATTCGAGTTCGAAAGACACAATTTGACGCTGTTTTATTATGGGTAAGAAATACCAATTTCTTTTTATGGGGTATATTAAAGATTTTGAAAATTTTAAAATTGAAAGAGTAAATTTTATTTCATTTTATTTTGGATACGTGTACGTATATTTGGATTTTATTCGTTATTAATGTAATAATAATTTGTAATTAAGATAACAATTAACAATTTTTTCCTGTATAAAATCAAATATGCCACGTATTTACCGCGTACACGTTGACGGAAATACCATTTAAAAAAGGAGCCACCAATTTTTTTTCGTTAATTAAATCAAACACCAAAAAAAGCTATAAAACCAAAAACAAAAAGAATAAAGACTAAAGAAACAAACAAAGCGAGAAATTATGAGCGAGAACGACAGAATGGATTGAAATCTGGAGAGAGAGAGAGAGAGAGAGAGAGATCGTCGTCGTCGTCTGTCTCCGCTATTTTCTCTTTCTAATTTCAGACCTTGAGTTCCGGACCTCTGTTTTTGTCTGAAACTCCCCCCCCCTTCAGAAAACAAATCGTCATCGACCCTCGTCCTCTCTCTTCTCCCCCTCTGTGCCATCGTCTCCTTCCTTCCCGATTCTCTATCTGGGTTAGTCTCTCTTCCATGGAGGTTTATCTTTTGTGTACAACTTCGTTTATCTAATTTTGATGGGCTCATTTCGAGCTCCTCATTCGTTGCTTCTGATGATCGTCTATGTAGAACTTTTCAAATAACTTTCAGCTGAGAATTCTGAATCATAGCATTTCATTACTCTGATTCTTCGTCTCGAACATGGAATTCTTGCTCGTTTGCTGTCGGAAAACGCAAAACCAAATGTGCGGTGTTCATTTTTCAATTCAAATCGGGGGCCCTGAATTATGCTTTCCTCTCAGAGAATATACAATCATTGCGAGTTTGGTTTGCATAATGATTCTTGGTATATAAACTAGATTCGAAATCGAATTCTACATATTATGTGTGTATTGTTCTGCGTGACAGCCATCGCGTGTACGGTCGCCAACGTTGTTTATCATACGTGAATTAATTTCTTCTGGATCAGTTTTTTGATGAAAACAACGGTAATCCTAAATTTATTTGGACTCGACTACATGAATCATTTTTCCACATTCATTTCGGTTTGGAGTTATTATTTGAAATTTGTAAACAATTCGAATTGTTAGTAACGAAAATCTATAGAAATATAACAATGAAATGCTGTTTGATTCCATGTCCCTCACTTTCTTTCTAAATGAGGTTATCTATTGGCTTTGCTTGAATTGCATATATGACGTTTTTTGGATTCGGTTTTTGTTGAATCTAGAGGTTGATTGTTGAAAATGTCGGCTCGCATGATATATTCCATCGATGAGATTACATAGAAGTTTGATTGAGCCATTGTTCTGTGATCTCTCTCTCTCAATACGTTTTTTTGGGTAACCGGGTGTCTTGTGCCGAAACCCAGACTAATCTCGGGACACGGAGCAACCCATATGATTAGAATTACGCTCTCCCAACTTGAAGCTTGAACTCCAGGCGGGACAGACGATTTGCATCCCCGTTTCACCAGTTGAACTAACTAAGTTGGAACTACTCAATATGTCTTTTTATGGTGATTCTCTGTTATTTTTGGTTGTCATAACGTTTTACTTGTTCTTAGATGCTTGCCATGGTCGGTCTACTTGCTTCTTTGGCCAACCGTGGCAAGTACAAGTGTTTGTGTGTTGGTCATAAATGATGTGTTAGATGTTATGGCTCTTATCCCGAACTCAGACTATGTTTTTAGTTAGCCTGTGCAGCATTATGACAGATGCTTTCCTTTTTTAGCAATGTATTTTGCTCTGTGTTCCATTTAAGTTGTTTCTTCTTTAGGAGATGGAATACCTCTCTGATATCTGAAGGGAAACTTGGTTTGGTAGAGTCTAAGTACTTGCCATGTCTGCTATAGCGCCTCAGCTGCATAATAATGTATGGTTTATCTTGTCGGGCTGCTTCTGTTTTTATCAATCTCTGAGCTTTCTCCTCTTTTTCTCTAACTGTTTCGTTTTCCCTGCAGATTTCATCACTAACTTCATCGGATGGAGGATTTGAAAGCTGCTGAAGCAGAGTCTCCTCCGGAACCTTCTCAAATGTCCGAGGCTACTGGTCATGTTTCCCACGGAGATGAAACAATCAAGCCGGAGTTGAAGGAATTAGCAGCTAAAGACTCTACAGTACCCTCTGCAACAACAGTTTCTCCCCTTCCTGAAAATGATGGAAACCTCAAAATTGAGGATTCTAAAGACATTCAACAATCTCAAAGTGATGGGTCAACTGGTAATGACAAAGTTTATCAAGATGGCACTTCTCTACCTCATGCAGGAGACACATGTGAGACCTTTGATGCAGTAACAGCTGAAGATCCTAGTAGTGATGAAACGGGGGATTCTTCTCGGCAAAAGCCATTGGACCATACTAATCCTATTGTTGTTTCTCTGTCCGGTGAGATCCCTATGCCTTGTGTAAAGATTAGCGGCGGTTCTGCGGGAACAGCAAGAAATGGAGGGTCACCAAGAGCTGTTTTGTCTCCAGGAAGCAATGGAAGATCCTCAGAATCACCAACAAGGGCCGCAACTCCCAAAAATCTGGACTTTTATAGAGGTTTAATTGATACAGCAGCACCCTTTGAATCGGTTAAAGAAGCTGTCTCCAAATTTGGAGGAATTACGGATTGGAAAGCCCAAAAAACGCAAGCTGTAGAGGTATATGATATTAATGTTTTTCCGTGAACAGACGCATGAGTGTCTGATTTATATGCGTTCGTATTGGGACCGGTTTTCGGGAATCTTAATCAAGATGGGTTGTGCGGTTTTGCAGAGACGCAAGCTTGTTGAACGAAAGCTCAACAAGGTTCAAGGGGAGATTCCTGAGTATGAAAAACAGTCAGAGGCTGCCGAAGTGGAGAAACTACAAGTGCTCAAGGAACTAGAAAGTACAAAGAGACTAGTAGAAGAGTTGAAGCTCAACCTGGAGAGGGCACAAACAGAAGAACAACAGGCAAAGCAGGACTCAGAGCTTGCTAAGTTGAGAGTTGAAGAGATGCAACAAGGAATATCTGATGAAGCCAGTGTTGCAGCTAAGGCCCAGCTTGAGGTGGCCAAAGCCAGGCATGCAGCTGCAGCTTCAGAATTGCAATCTGTCAAAGGGGAGCTCGAAATACTGCATAGGGAATATGATGATCTGGTTAAAGAGAAAGTGGAAGCTGTGAAGAAAGCTGAAGAGGCAGTGTTGAAATCAAAGGAAGTTGAGAGGACAGTAGAAGGACTCACCATAGAGCTGATAACTACAAAGGAGTCTCTGGAATCATCACATGCTGCTCATTTGGAGGCGGAAGAGGGAAGAATTGGAACAGCCATGGCTCGTGACCAGGATACTCACCGCTGGGAGAGGGAACTAAAGCAGGCAGAAGAGAAACTCCAAAGACTTAACCAGCAGATACTTTCGGCAAAGGATCTGAAATCAAAACTTGACACTGCTTCAGCTTTGCTTTTCGATTTGAAGGCTGAATTGGCAGCTTATATGGATTCAAAATTGGAGGAGGAAGCGAGTGATTCAGTCACAAAGGGTGACATCCCACCAGAAAACAAAACCCACATGGATATCCAATCAGCTGTTGCCTCTGCAAAGAATGAACTTGAAGAAGTAAAAGTCAACATCGAGAAAGCAACCGCTGAAGTGAATTGCTTACAGGCAGCCGCCTCTTCTTTACAATCAGAGCTTGAGAATGAGAAGTCAGTTCTTGCCTCAATCAAACAAAGAGAAGGAATGGCTTCCATAGCTGTTGCTTCTCTAGACGCTGAAATTGACAGAACCAAGTCAGAAACAGCTTTGGTTCAGTCAAAGGAGAAGGAAATCAAGGAGAAAACGGTGGAGCTACCAAAGCAACTGCAGCAAGCAGCCCAAGAGGCTGATGAAGCCAAATCACTGGCTGAACTTGCTCGTGAAGAACTGTGCAAGGCGAAAGAAGAAGCAGAGCAAGCAAAGGCTGGAACAAGTACAATGGAGAGCAGATTATTCGCAGCACAAAAGGAGATAGAGGCTGCTAAAGCTTCAGAGAGGCTGGCCTTGGCTGCCATCAAAGCTTTGCAAGAGAGTGAATCTGCTTCAAAGGCTAATGATGTTGATTCACCGAGAAGCGTAACACTTTCATTAGAGGAGTACTATGAGCTCAGCAAACGTGCTCATGAGGCAGAAGAACAAGCCAATGCAAGGGTTGCGGCAGCGGTTGCTCATATAGAGGAAGCTAAAATTGCGGAAATGATAAGCTTGGAGGAACTGGAAGAGGTAAGCAAAGAAATGGCTGCAAGAAAGGAAGCACTTAAAGAAGCAGTGGAAAAGTCTGAGAAGGCGAAAGAGGGAAAGTTGGGAGTTGAACAAGAATTGAGGAAATGGAGGGCGGCAAATGAGCAGAGAAGAAAGGCTGGTGAGAGTGGATTGAACACAGAGAAAAGCCAAAGAGGAAGCGTCGAAAGCTCAAAGGAGTCAAGTAACACAGAACAAGCATCTGAGACAATGGTCACCTATGCCTCCAGCCCCAATGATTCATATGGGACAGGAGATAGTCATGAAGCTCCTCAAAAAAAGGCTGGAAAGAAAAAGAAGCTATTTTTCCCGCGGTTTTTCATGTTCTTGTCAAAAAAGAAGTCACATTCACACAAGTGAGCTGATTCTGAGTTTCTTAAGGAGCATCCAATGATTGCAGCAGGGACCTTAAAAGAATGGATTACAGGTGATGAAGTCTGTTGTGAGATGGCTGTTGCTTTCCTTTGTGCATTGTGATCTTAGAGCCTTTTCTATCACAAGATGGGCAATGAGGGAAGAGACCTGTCAATATACCCAAAAAAATGGTTATGAGATGTGTACGAGTACGACTTTTTAACCTCTGTAAATTCTACACATGTTTTAGCTTGGTAAATGAAGTTGACATTTTGGTGCATCATCAAAGCTAGAGGTAATGAAGATTCCTTTGCATGAACACACAAGGAAAGTCAATACAACATAAGATCCTTAGATTCATACCGCAGTATTAGCAGTATCAACAAGTACCCTTTGTCTGAATCTAACAACATACCAAGAACGAGAACATTATGTGTTACAAACAAACTAGAACTGAAAATCTCCCTTAGTGTCTGAATAGAAATAAGCCGTTTCATCGCCTGCTGGACAAGCTGAAAGAGCTGACTTTCATGGGAGTTGCAATAACCAAAGGAGCCTCTGGTGAACCGGTGATTGCATACTTGTCATTCATGAAACGACTGTCCACGATGGATTCATCCCGGAGCACTACCTTGTAGCAGTAACATTTCTTCAGGCCATCCTTGTTTTGGTAACATTCATGCGACCCGTTCTTCACTTGCTGGAAGTTCCATATCACGCTGAACTTGCCAACAGTTGCCACCACATGGCGTTCTTGCTTCCCGTTCTCAGTGACCTAGATATCAAGTTTTAACATAAGAATCAATCAAAACACATGCCATAGAGTTGGAATTTATGATCTGTAATAGAAAAAGGAATCAGGCATTACAGAAGATCCAAATCACAAATTCTGAATTTTGGTGCTTTGTTAAAGATTCAGTCGAAAGAAAGCCAGTTCTTTAGCAATGCACTAGTTTGACAAGACAGCAGTTTTGTTCCTATACAAAATCAAGGTTGTAACACCAGCAACCGAGGAAAATTATAACATGCGCTCAGAACGCTGCTGAACAAATTTAAGACAATGCAAAAGAAACTATGGTTTCCACAGCATAAACTATTCTCATACCAGGGATGTCCTTAAATAGAGAGCAGGAAAGTTGACATTATTCGTGACAGACAAACATTTCAATCGAAGAAATAAGCCTCTTCATCTAGGTGGGAACATCTGCTTTTAAAGTCACCAGCCAAGCTATACTGAAGGCATTAAAGAGAGGTATTTCTGCAAAGACAGACCTATCATCATAATTTTCCGGAATAGACCATTAGACAACTCGGACATCTGGAAATGCAGTTACTAACTTACTGATATGTTCATCTTGCAGGAAATGAATAGCCTTCACTTCACCTTTGACACATAACTTCACACAATATAATGACCTAGCAGCTATTTGGTTAGCAAGCATGTAACTTCAGAAGCACAGAAACAAAAAGTGATGAAACTTCGACTTACCCAAGAAAACTGAGCATTCCGGAACTTATTACTAGTTCCAGCTAAATGGGCATCCAGAGGTCTTAGCTTTAACAATCTTGGAGCTGCAATTCTATTTCCCATTCGACCTGAGAAGCCAGTCTTTGTTTTGCCATCCTTATCAGTGAAAAGACTGCAGATGACAATCAAATACGTATCTGTTGTACCCACTATCCATTTACCGTCAAAAGTAACATCCACATGCGTAACTGGTGAACCGAGACCAGGGAAAGCTGTCTTTGCCTGTCTCATAGTATTGCTAGAGTAGAGTCTAATCTTCCCGTCAAGAGACCCAACGACAATTGACCCATCTCCCGTGGTCGCAAAGCACTGGAAGTTAGTGCCTCTTGAAAACTGATGCCCTTGTGCCCAATTCAACACCGGGGCACTAGCAGTAGCAAGATTCTGAACCATCCCATGTCGATCACGCATATCCCATCTGCAAAGCCTATTATCATCCAAACCAAGAAACGTTGATCCAGACGGGTCCAGCTGTGCCCCTTTGCTGTCATTAGTGATGTCCTTCATAGAGATATCTACCCCATCCTTTCCGAACTTCCACTCTGAAACAATCTTCCCGGTTTCAATGTCAAGCTGATGAATCCCCGTTGAATGAGGCTTGGCTTCATTCATGGGACTCATGAGCAGCATGTTAGTCTCAGCCTTCATTAGAAGAGCCCTTTTAGGAGTAGATTGAGCTAGATTTCTGGCGCTTTGACTATACCCAGCATCAAAATTAACACACACTCCCTTCCCCTGAATCCCATGCCTAAGATTCTTGAAAACTTGAATACCAGAATCTCCAACCAGAAAACTATTATCTAAAGCACCCAAAGCTAAGCTCTGTATGCCATCACTCGCAGCCTCTTCAAAAGCCTCGGTCAGATCCTGTGTTTCCCTCAGTGGTGTTGCCGACTCGGGGCTTTTAAGCAAAACATCATCAGCATCTTCCCACATAGAATCATCAGCAGCCTCAGGCTTTGCCCAAGCTATGAAATCTTTACCGTAAATTTTAGCCGTATTGGCCTCATTCAACTCAACACCGTGATTGTTCTCAAACAAGCAATCATTGTACTTACTCACAAAAGCCGTATAATCTTCAATGCTGGGAAACTTCATCGCCCAAACAGCTTTAGCAACAAAATCAACGCGGCGCTGATCTTTATAAGCCTTCAATTGCATCTCCTCCGAAACCTTTTCCCGGATATTGGTCCCGACCTTCAAAACCCACCATCCCTTTTCCCCATCTTCATCCTCTTCGTCGTCATCATCTTCTTCCACGCTGATTTTGGAGGTATTGACGAAAGAATACGCAGTCAATTTCTCTGCAGTGACCCATTTGGCTTTAGGGGTGTTGCCATTGATGTAGCGGAAAAGCCGAACAGCGTTCAGCGAGGGGGCTTGGTTCAATGATGGGTATTTGAGCTTCAGGGCATTTAGCTTCGCCTCCACGTCGTCTATCGACGGAGACTTGGGTCGACGTCGACGACCGAGCGAGGAAGATTTGTCCGGCGTGTCGTCCCTCGAGTCCTCGAACTTCTCCCCCTCATCTTCTTGTTCTCCTTCATACTCCTCGTCCGAGTCCCAGATCTCCATGTCTTCCCGGCTGTGAGAGCCCCCCATTTTTGCGAACACACACACACACAGAGAGAGAGAGAGAGAGAGAGAGAGAGAGAGAGAGAGAGAGAGAGATGTCTGAAATGTGTAAAGATCAAATGAGAGCGAGGAAAACTGAGGAAGAAGAGGGGCGCCCGTAAGAACGAAATTTGAAAATTAGGGATCTGATTGCATATGATCCGAGGTGGCCAAATTATCCGCAATAACTCGTCCGAGTCATAAGACCTATTTCAAAGCAGATCCAAAACAAATTCGCAAAATTAAAAAAAAAAACCACACTCAAAATTTTAATTTGACAGAAAAGTATATCAAATATTTCAATATAAAAAAAAACATGATATCAAAATTGTCAATTAGGACACAGCCGTTATCTTTATCATCCATATAATTAAGCATTTAACAAATGAATAATTACTTCCAAAGCAAACCAGCTATCACATATATAGTTTTAAGATTGATATCAAATCATTTTGTATCATAAACATATAATTAAGCATTTAACAAAGGAATAATAATCTCCAAAGCAAACCAACTATCACATGTATAGTTTTAAGACTAATACCAAATCATTTTGTTTCATAACAAGAATATATATATATATATATATTAGACGGTAGTTTAGAGACCCTTCTACCTTTGAACCAATTATATCTATAAACTTGTAATTTATTTGTCTTGATATAATTTATTTGTATTGCAAGTTGGAAAATTATAAAAATACTATTTACTTTTCTATTTTTATTTGGATAAAATCTATACAAATTTTTAAACTTGTAAAATATATCACTATAATTTCTAAATTTGTTAATTAATATAAAAAACCTTGACGACGTTGATCCGTAAATTAGTTTGATAATTATAATGACATATTTTATAAATTTAGAAATAAATTTGTCAAGTAAAAAAATGAAAAATTAGCTTTTCACCATTTTATAAGTTTAGAAATTTTAATGCATTTTACCCTATTCATTTCAACCCTTAGTAAAAACAAATTCGCTCCATGCACTACCCTTATAAATGTTTATTTCTCGTATTAATTTCATACTTTTGCTCTCACGGCTCGGCTCGTTCTTTCTATTGATTTTGCGATCCTTCGAACATGCGACGTACAATCTATTGACCATGCGGTCTCATGCGATCTGCTGATCGATACAGCTATATCTCAATATTACTTTTTTTTGGTAATGTATATATCCATATTACTCTTATAAACCATATGATATTATACGATTCATACGTTTCAAAATTATTTTATAAAATACATATGATGTAATTGTTGTTTATTTTAGAGTAAATTGATGGATTTAATAAATTTTTTATGTGACTCATATTTATATGTATTACGGATATGATGAAGGAGTTGTATATTCGTAAATGATATAGTATGAATTGGTAAAGTATATATATGTGTTTGGTGAAGTATATACTTGTATTTAGTAGTGAAATTTAAATGCAGAAATTCTGCAGGGGTTGTAATACAGACATGTTAATTCTAACACGGGCAGTGTTAGATTCAACACGGACAGTGTCAATATATCCTCTGAGAAAATATTGTTTTTTGCTTAGACATTTGACACGGACCGTGTTAGGTACAACATGGACCGTGTCAATTCTCTGAGAGATTGGTGAGTCTTTTTGGTAAACAAACTTGCTACTTCTTCTCCATCTATTCTTGTTCATACTCTTTGTCGAGTTTTTCTGTTTCGGACAACTTTTGACGAGCAAATCAATCGTTGTTGATCTTCTTTGTATCTCTAAACGTATTTTCGGGTTTCTCTTTTGCTTGGTGGGGAGGGAATAACGTTTTAAAAAAGTGTTCTACACGCCTAGAAGTTCATATCTGGGTTCTATTGTTTTTGGTATTCGATTCTATTTTTCGTTTTTGTATTCTTTCTCATGTGTCCTGCTCTAACAGTAATATTCTATTACCTTAAATTTACTGTTCCACCGTTCGATTTTCGTATATCTTTCGCTCTCACTTCTATATTTGATGAACATAATTAATAAGTTAAAATGATAAAATCATTTCTAATCTTCTTCTTGCTTTCATTAGAAAATTATCTCTTTTTCTTGTTATCATTTGAAGTAGTCTCTTTTTTCTCTAACGAAATTTTGAAAATTTAAAATTATAATTCTTTCTTTGAAATATCTTAGTTAAATTAAAGATATTTTTGTTTTTCTTTTTTTTTTTTGAAAATTTTTATTGTATTGAATGAATAACTAAAATATTTACACAATAAATAAAAACTTTTTTTTATGGTAGCGAAGGGAATAATCACTCTATCAATGCGTCGTAGAAGGAAAGAAATTGCCGCATATTTGGAAATTCTTCCACTCCCCCGAGAGTCCTACGATCTAGGTTGTTGGATCGGATGGTAAGAAACACTCTCCTATTACTCCAGCAGAGACGAGATGCACCTAACAATCTCTTACTTCAGCATTGATTCGGTTCGATTCTTTCAGTTTTATAAAAATCTATACCAATCGATTAATATTTTATTTTCGATTCGGTTTCGATTTTGGATTTTATTAAAAAAAATTAGATTTTTAAGAATTTTTTGGTTTTTCGGATTTTTTTAAAATTCGGTTTTTCAAAAAATTCCGTTCAATTCGAAAAAATACTATATTTCCAAATAATCGAATCGAAACGTCCACCCCTGATATCAACTGTACTGATATCATCTGTACACCCCTGATATCATCTATACATGTTGCTTTATAAGTAAATTCTTTTGTTGGGTGACGGTTAGCTCAGGTTTATAATACGGATCTTGGATCCTACATTATGCATCACCCTTTTTTTAATTAATTAAAAAAAACATTGTAGACTTGAAATGAATTGCTAGATATCTTGAATTGTTTGGGCATTCCTATAATCATTCGAATCAATTGAGTACACACTGATCCAATCTAATATTTAACTAAATGGATATATTTTTCTACATAAAAAATATAATGAATCCAAATCGAATATAAAAATAATGGAAATTAAATAAATTATTTTTATTAATAAAATCAAATTCCAACTAAAATAAAAATATATATTATAAAATATATGCTTAGATATGTTTTTTCAAATAGAAAAAAAATAACGGAACAATGCAATGACCGTTGACGCATCATATCAGTGAAAGTGAGAGAGTCGCATAAAAGCAGAGGAGACGGAGTATGCGCTCGAGCAATCTCAACAGCCCAGCTTCAGCTCGAGACATCTTTCATGTTCATGGTGAAAATCCTTCTTCCCCTATCGGTATCTTTCGCCATTTATTACGCTCAGGTCTCGAACCAAATCATCATTCCATCTCTCTCTTCCTGAAATCCTCTGCTGCCTTCTTATTGTCTTCCGTTGATTCGTTGAAACTACAAGTCGGGCAAATCCAAACCCATCTCGTCAAATCAGGTCTTGATCAGTTCGTCTATGTCAAAACAGCTCTTCTTGATCTCTGCTTGAAGATGGGTCGTGTTACTACCGCACGATTATTGTTCGACGAAATGCCTGAAAGAGATGATGTTGTTTGGAATGCAATGATCTGTGGGTACTCTCGTAATGGCTACGACTCTAATGCCTTGCAGCTCTTCATTGAAATGATTCGACAAGGGTTTTTCCCCTCCGCAACGACACTCGTAAGCTTGTTGCCTTCTTGTGGGCAATCTACTTTTATGTCTCAAGGGAGGTCTGTTCATGCTCTCGCCGCTAAGGCTGGTATTGGGTTGGATTCTCAAGTGAAAAATGCTCTTCTCTCAATGTATTCAAAGTTTGGAGACTTGAGTTCAGCAAAACATTTGTTTACAGATATGAACGAGAAAACCACTGTTTCCTGGAATACGATGATTGGTGCCTATGCCCAAAAGGGTTTCAGGGAAGATGCTATACTTGTTTTCAGGCAAATGCTCGAGGTCAATGTAGAGATTAGTGCTGTAACTATCATCAACCTTATTTCTGCTCATGTTAGTCATGAGCCATTACATTGTTTAGTTGTTAAAACGGGAATTGTAAATGATTCGTCGGTGATTACTTCTTTAGTCTGTGCATATGCAAGAAATGGTGATTCAGAATCAGCAGAACGACTTTATGAGTCCACAAACGAAGAAAGTATAGTTAGCCTAACAGCAATCATTTCAAGCTATGCTGAGAAAGGGAATATGGATATAGCGGTTGCGTATTTTTGTAGGATGCAACGGTTGGGTATGGAACTGGATGCTGTAGCTATGGTTGGGATTCTCCATGGATTTACGATCTGTGGTAACATCAACTTAGGGAGTTCTTTACATGCTTATGTGATCAAAAGCGGCTTGTGCGCTGATACCCTGGTTGCGAATGTGCTGATAACTATGTACTCTAACTTTGATAATGTGGAGGCTATGTTGATTCTATTTGAAGAAATAAATGAGAAACCTCTTATTAGTTGGAACTCAGTGATATCTGGGTGTGTACAGGCTGGAAGGGCAAGCACAGCCTTCAAAATGTTTTCTCGAATGAAGTTAAATGGTGGTCCGATGCCAGATGCCGTTACAATAGCAAGTTTACTGACCGGGTGCTCCCAGCTCGGTTACTTGGATTTTGGGAAGAAACTTCACGGTTATGCTCGTAGGAACAATTTTGAAATGGAGGATTTTGTCTGCACTGCCCTTATAGACATGTATGCCAAATGTGGAAATGCAGAACTTGCAGAAAGCGTGTTCAGGAGCATAAAAGATCCTTGTGTAGCAACATGGAATGCGATGATATCGGGATACAGTTTATCTGGGTTACATAATAAAGCTCTTTCTTGTTACATGGAAATGCAAAAACAAGGATTGAAACCCGATAAGATCACTTTTCTCGGGATTCTGGCTGCTTGTACACATGGTGGCCTTGTTGATGAAGGAAAAAAGTGTTTCCACGCGATGACCAAAGAGTTTGGAATTTCTCCCAGTCTGCAACACTATGCGCTCATGGTTGGTCTACTGGGTCGAGCGAGTTTGTTTGCTGAAGCACTGGATGTAATTGCAAGAATGGAGTTAAGGCCAGATTCTGCAGTATGGGGAGCTCTTCTAAATTCTTGTGCTATGCACAGACAGATCGAGCTCGGGGAATATGCAGCTAAGAAAATGTATATGTTGGATTATAGAAATGGAGGGCTTTACGTGTTGATGTCAAATTTGTATGCAGCAGAAGGAATGTGGGAAAACGTAGCCAAAGTCAGGAGGATGATGAAAGATACGGGAGGGGATGGTTACTCTGGTGTTAGCCAAATAGAATAATTCAATTAAATGAAAAACCTAGTATTGATGCAATTCATGCTGTGTTGTTCCTTCAAATGAAGTTAATTTGGAACTTGGAATAAATTTTCGCAATGGGGGAGTCTGTTATCTTATTCAATGAAATTGTTGTTTCTTGTTGCTTCTCTTAAGGTATCGATTATCTTTCACGGATTCTGAATACTTGTATATACTTGTCAGTTTTATTTCTTCCTTCTTTAACTAGAATTAAATTTTGGGGTTTCTTCTTCTTGTTTTGCTTTTGGTATTTTCTTTTATTTGATTTGAACTTATCGGTGATGGATATTTGATTATTTTCCAGGTTATGCATCCATGGGAGGTGCCGAGGTGGATTACTTGGATATTTAATTAGATTATTTGGATCATTGGATATGCAGATTTTTGGTAGCAATTTTAATCTTCAATGTAAAAGCATAACATTCTTCTTGCTGGATGCTCCTCAAGATTTGGCTGGGAATCTTATAGACAGCACAGCATGATTTGACAATGACGAGAGTGTTGGATGTGTCCGTGAGTTCAAGACGACTAAGAGTTTCATTGAATCCTTGAAAAGCCCAAAGAAACAAATTGTTTGGTCGTGGTTGATTTTTATGGCAAGTCCTGTGGAAGCTGTAAGTATATAGAGCAAGGTTTCTGAAAACTCTCTAAGGGATCCAGGCACCAAGCAACTCCAGTTATCTATCTCAAGCATAATGTGAGTATTTTTACTCTCATCCTGATTAAAACATGCAAAATGTTTTCTAAATCTGAGAGAATTACTAAAATAATTAAGAAATCCAGGAACATTATGGGTTTTTACCAAATCTGTAGAACACTATTACAATTTCTACGTGCCCTTACTCTTTTATTTTCTTCCGTATATCGCTGCGGGAATCACTCGCTCTTATATGGTTGATCGGTAATCTTATGGTTATGGTGTTAAGATCGCAATCTTCACCATCAAAGTGCCACCGTTTCTATGTTGAGATATCTTAGTGTTGATCTGGTGATTGACAGACTGCTATAAGATTTATTCTTTGGTGAAACCGTCTGCAGGTACCGATGAATGTAGTGAACACTCTGCCCTTGCTGAAAGGCTCTGAATCAAGGTAGTGTATGAATATTGTGAACACTCTGCACTTGCTGAAAGGCTCTGAATCAAGGTAATGTCTTGTGGTACAAAGCTAGGAGCTTTTCTTCAAGTTTTATGTTACCGTTCGGAGTTTTACATGTTTCTTCAATATCTTTTTCTGGGTTCCAATTTGAAGCTTTCCTCTCTTGTATCAGGGAATATTTCAGGTTACAATTAAATCTGGTTTTCTTCGGATCTCTCTTCCGGTCTCTACTAATAGAAACTCGTGCAAATAACCAGTTATGAAGTTTGATTGATGCAGGTGGTTCCCTTTTCCACTTCTACAAAAACAGAGCGTTATGGGAAGGATTCGCAAACAAAGACAGGGAAAGGATCGAGACAGCTATTTTCAAATAAACCGGTGATTGGCTGTCTTTCCAAATCCAAAGCGTATGATCTAGAATTTGTTCGGCTTGCATTTTAACCCAGATGCAGTATACAAATGTTTGTATATACCCTTATTTTTTTTTATAGACAATCTAAGGATCTTAATAAATAATCCTGAATCATTTTCCCAGGATGACATTTCCATCTCGTCTACTTTATCTTAGGCTCTTCCCAACTCGTTTCCAGGTCTAGATTATGGAACGTCGAGGACCGCTACATGCCTTACATTTTGTGCCATATGAAAATACGTGTATGGTGAGATATATTAGGGTCTGGAAACTTTGATACAGGGAAGTGTGGTTGATAAACAGTATCGAGCATATGTGAGCAAAGGAAGGGAGAAGAACCAACAAGGAAACATTGAAGAACATATCAGCAAGGGGCAAGATGGCTTTTTCATGTGTGTGTCGATTTGGGTGTGCAGGATTTTGGTTGTTTGGTGTCACGTCAGTACTTTATTTAGCCCTGTCTTTCATTTCATTCGGTAGGGTTTTTCATCTGGAAAATTGTCGACAGAGTTACTGAAATACAAATCTGGGTTTTCTTTTACAAAACCCTATCAGTGGTCCGAACATCAGGTGCTTCGAGGGTCATGACAGAACATGAAGCTGTATTAGTCACATATTCTGGAAATTGCACAAGAGAGATTTCAGATCTAACAAAAGACAATAAAGGTACGCTCTCCTGTCTCTGGTCACTTTGGCTTCTTAGAATGTAATAGAATCTTGTGAATTGGCTAAAAATCTGATGATTTTTACATTTAAAAAAAAACTTAGAGAACACAATTGAAAATGAGATGAAAATTAGCGGTAGAGATTGCTCCTTCCCTCGGATCGTTTTCCTGATGGAAATGGGAAAAGAACGAACCCTTGGGAAAGGCATTTGTTATTGGAGTAATCTTTCATTTTCGGGGTTTAATGAAATTGTGGATCCATTAGGCTGCAGATTCTTTCCAGAATCTGGTTGGTAAACCATGTAGGGGGACCGGGAATGGACTGTACTGGATCCCACTTTGTGATCCTAATACTTCCCACCTGCAAAAGCAAAAGAGAGAAAAAAAACCCATCACTTTCATTTTTAATTTTCATTATTCTCTTTTTTCACTCTTTCATTTTTTTCGAAAAATATCTGGCTGAAGTTTTACACAGAACAGAGTGTGACTTTAATTTGTGTTGATGATATTTGAAACATAACAATGTCTGATGAAAGATTATTATGCTCATACCTGAACCTGGATGTCAAATGATGTGTTATTATCAGCATCTCCAACTTGGCCAGTTCATTCCCTGGACATGAGTGTACTCCATTTCCGAAAGGCATGAACGTATAGGGTTTGGGCGTTTCCTGCATAAAACGGAGAACTTCAGGATCCAATGAATCAATGGAAGAAACATAATTATCTCCGAGCTCTACGCACGACCCTCGAAATTTTTTAGATGCAAACCGATTATGTTATTGATTATATATAAACTTTTCAGGACCCGGATGAAAGATACCTCGAAACGGGAAGGATCAAACTTTTCAGGATCAGCGAAGAAGCCGGGGTTGTGATGTATGTTCCTGAACAATGGCATCACCTTCCATCCCTTTGGAATCAGATATCCTGTTAGGAGTTGAGTTGCTTCCATTAGATGGAATGATTTTTCCGAATTACATATTTTTTTTGGGGATGAGAATTTACCTTTGTACTCAACATCAGCTACTGCTTCTCTGAAGGTGAAAGATATTATGCTCGCCATCCTCAAGCTCTCCAACACCACCTGCATTTCTCAATCAGATTGGATGCCTGAGTTTTGAGGTTTCTATATTCCGAATCAGAAGCTTCCAGAACGATGTCCCCGCAACACTTACCTTGTAAGTCACGGACATGTTCCTGGTTTGTGACCAGGTCAGCGGTTGTCTCCCGTAGCCATTCATTTCCTGTATCGCCTTTTGTTCGGCCTGTAAACCCCCCAAAAACCGTAATAATTATTACCCAGGGGACCATTTTTCGCAATAAATGAATGAGACTACATTGTTCTAGACTCATCAGGATTTTGCTATGTGACCTTGACTGCTGCTAGAACTTTCTGGTTGTCATGTAGGTACTTGACGATCCATGTCATGGCGCTTGCGGTTGTGTCCTGTGCAGCAAACAGAACCCCGATGATGTTATCGGCGATCTGATCTTCTCTAAGAGCCTCACCTCTCTCATCTTTGGAGTTCAGTAGACTTCCCAACAGGTCATTCTCCTCAAGCCTCTTCTCTTTCCTTTCACAAATTATTTCTGCTAAGATCTGGTTCAGCCTCTTCCTCGCCTTTCGAGAATCCAAAAACCAAAAAGGGTCTTAAGAAAAGATCCATTTTAACATTTTAAAAAAAACGAAAGAGATTCAAGAAGAAGAGAAAGGCTTACCAGAACGGCTTTTCTGTAAGAGGTCCCAGGAAGAACTGTGGGGAAGGAATTGTAGCCTTTGTCTACTGTGGAGTAATTCTTCTTGAGCTCTTCTCTGTAATGACTTTCAATGTTTCCAAAGATTGCCAAGATTCCTACTTCAAATGAAAACTGCAATAATATTCATAAACAATTGGTTTATAAAAAAAAATACAAAAATATAATGCACTTTGCTCTTCATTGTAAAAGGCCAATTAGAGAAGGGTGTTTAGATGTAAATGAACATGTAGAAAAATACCTTTTTGAGTTCGGAGAAGACGGTAACGGCCTCCCTCTCGCCCCAAGAGTCGAGAAGAACGGTAGCCAAGTGGGCGATATCTCCCACGAGTCTTCGGACTGTG